TAGTAGCTGGTACATAATCACTGAGGAGCTATTTCTTAACATGCTTTTATAGACGATGCTAATGCTAGACCACTATTTAAGGGCTAATCTCACACCTCCATAGCTGTAAGAGTCTGAATTAGAACAGACCTCTCTGTGCAATAACTTGTGGCCACTGAAATCCCTGGCCGGCGTTTGTATTTGGATTGCAATGACTCCCAAGGGCCAAAAGAGTTAAAGGCACGACTGGGATTTCTTCTGAGACTGTGGTGAAACTCATTCCAAGGCTGGGGGGTCATTAGGTGCTTTGGAGGAACTCAGCACCACTTGATATTCAACAGCCACTTGAGCCAAATATAAAATTGTATTTACAGCTGATGGACTCAATTTGAGCCTTCAAACTTGTAATTATCCTATTATATTGTAAACGAATACGTTGTTTGTCTAGCATTGATTCGGTTCCTATGCATATGTATTTTCACAATGTGCTCCCCTCCCCAGATCTTAATTAAACCAGATTTTGCAAATTCATTCTTATTCTTTCAAGTCTGAGTATACTGGCTTCAATATGAGGCTGTATAATCTATCAAGAAACTGTATAATCTATCAGTCAACATTTATTTTAAACACTAACTTACATGTAATATTGATAAATGGAAAAAAGATATTCTGTATAAGAAAACCATTCAGGGCCTATTAAAAAAGATATTCACGTATTTTAAACTACTGAGTTCATTAGTAACATATATGTCCCTACCCTGGGTTATTTTTAACGTCAAGTATGTATTTCTTCCTTGAATCACCAATACAATTTTAAGTAGGAAAAAACCTCTCAAGTATTATAAACACATCTTAATTTTAAAGTAAAGCTACAAAATATGAAAATGCTCCAAAGTATTAAAAAGGGCTTTTCAAACATAAATATGTAACAATGACAAAGTTAACTGAATGGTACATCCTCCTCTTCCAACAAAAACCCTAAAAATAAAAGCCAATGATATTGTGCCATTCCACATCCGTATTTCCTGAAGATAATCCTGGCCATAAAAAGCCTCATCCAGAAGAGGTGGAATTATAATTTATAAACTCAAAAATGACAATAAATACCCTTCCCAACTTTTTCATCTCTCTGTATCCCATGAAGCATTTGTAATTTCATACAACAAACAAAAATGGCAATTTTTTCCCCTGATCTAGGGCCTATGATAGTTGAAATTACATTCATATATTGGTTTCTAATAAAAATAAAAACTGACAAAGTTATCCGTATCAGTTTAAAAAAATCACAGAGTTTTCCAAATAATCATCATTTGAATAACCCGAGAAAAATTAGAAAATTTCCATTGCTTTTTCAGATGTTACTACATTTCCCAAAAGTTAATCCACAGAGAATGGACCCTGGCTCAAATTTCAGCAGACGCTGGAGAATCCTGCCACGTGCTTCCCATCCTTAGTTGTTACCTATCAATTCTGCTACTGGGTCCACTTTCCACACTGATCTTTCTGGAACATGCTGAACATGCTGCATTCACATTACACCTGCACCCCCTTCAAGTCTTTGCTTAACCAAACAACCACATAGAACCGTCCTTACTAACGTGGACATTTTGTGTGGATATTTCAGTAGTTTCAAATAATCTTTTTCAACCCTCAAACAATGAAAGGTAGCGCGTCAAAGTAAACTCTACCCTTCAAAGCAGTTAAGAACCAATAACTATTTCAGAGGCCCTCACTGGCAGCTGAGTCATTTGGCAGAGCCAACCCACTGCTGCTCCTACTAGTATCTTCCTCAAAACATCCTCTCCTTACCCTCAACAGTTGAGCAAGATAAGTCTTGCAGACATGAACTGCTAATTTTACTAAGGTACACAGGATACAGATAAAAGCACACACAAAGAGGAAACAATGAAACCAAAACCACATGGGAAACATCAATCAAATAACAACTATTAGCAGCTTTTTAGCTTTTTATAGCCAAACATCCTGAAAAACTGAACACCTACATGCAGTTCAGAAAACGCCTATGTTTAGGGGAAACCACTATGATTTTATTCACAAGAGACAAAAGCCTGAATTAAGGCAGTGATGGTAAAAGACAGTCAATGGGATGAATTCTATGTTAGGGAAAAAGAATGGGCAGGTGACTGATCAGAAGTGGAGGGGAAAGAAAGGAAAGAGTCTAGGATGACAGCCAGGTATTTAGAGTAGACACTTGGTGGACAGTGATGTGATCACCAAGATGAAGAGTCCAGAAGGTGGGGAGGTTCAGCTTAGGCTGCCAGTGTAGAAGTCCTGTGTGCAGCTGGGACTATACTAGGGAGAGAAGACCAGGTGAGAGAGATTTGGGAGTCATCAATACACTGAGAGACGGTAAGTGTCCTTAGTTATTGTACAATTTCTATGGGCAGATACTATGCTAAGCGCTTCGTAAAATTCATTTATTCATCAAAGCCCTATGAGATAGAAACTATTACTATAATCATTTTGCAGATAACTGTCAAATAACTGAGGTTAAATAATGTGTTCCAGGTTAGAATGCTAATAAGCAGCAAAGCCAAAGCTCATATATATGCTTGACACCAAAGGCAACCGCCACCCCCTCAAACTGCTATGTTGTTTCCTTCTACCTGGAATGCATGAGGTAGGAAGGTGACCAATCCTGGGCAGCACCAATACCTCTGTATTCTAAGCACTTGGAATAACTTCCAAATATAACTCCAAAAGGCCTCACCATCACAACTGATGAAAACACTGATTCTTCCTCCCTTTCAGAGAAAACACCTAGTGATTTTTCATAATTTTGAAGATGACACCATATGTCTCAATTTATGAATCATGATTTAGCTCAATCCTGAAAAGAGGATTGAGAAATTCATTAAGTATATGACAGTGGGGAAATAAATGATAGGCTTTGACACTTTTTATTGTTTTCTTAATATAAATATTCTCTCATCCAGGTTAGGCAACTATTATAATCACACAAGAAGCATATTTAACCTAATAATAAGGATTTGTCCTTGACTAAAGTTTCTCCAAACACAAACGCCGAAGACCCTTTAGTAAATTTACAGTGCTGAAGAACAGGCAGCAGGTACTCACCTTTGGATGGCAGAGTTAGCATTTGGTGTGAAGACTTCGAAAAATACATATAAAAATTTTTTTTGCTGATTTTTTTTTCTAGTATCCATTGTCCATAAAAGATGGACATGAATTATTGGGAATATGGAAGGATGAAAGGGAACACGACTGGAATGAGATGGCATGGTCACGCTTGGCAGGAGTCAGGAGACCTGACTGTTCTCATCATCCTTCTCCAGCCCTTCACCACCACCACTCAATGAGTGACCTTGGGATAATTACCTAGAACTCTACAAAAACAGAGGCAACAACAGAAATTGTATCACAAACATGGTATGAAGATTAAGTGATGTATATAAAGCATTTAGTACAGAACACTGGTATATATATATATAGTTAAGCCCACAATAAATTACTATTTTAAAAAAACTAACAATACTGTCCACCCAGACTAATATTTTAAAAGTACATTCCATGAAAGGTAACATAACTTGTCAAAACCAATGTAATTTTACCTGGAGAGACTCATGGATTGGCTACCTGAGGTCACCATCTCTTTTTCCATCCTGTTATAACAGAGCATTATCTTTACCTTAGAGCTTTCAGGGAACAGAAAATTTCTCAGTGGATGCAGGCAGGGTATTGTTACTCCTATTTAGCAAAAACAAAAGGAAACAAACCCCGTAGCACTGGGTAAGCCCATAAGCCATGTGAAACCAGAATGCTCAGAAAAGATATCTCCTGATTTGTCAAAACATACTGGGATAAAATACTTTTTAGAAAAGGAACATCCAATGACGGCCAAAGGTGTGAAGAAAGAGGCCCTTCTGAACACTGCTGATGGAGTTACATGTGGATAAAATTTTTCTGGAGAGTAATCTGGCAATGTACATGAAAGGTGCTTTAAACAGTATATATGACCTTTAACTCAGGAATCTGTTCTAAAGAAAAAAACAAAGGCCTGAGTTCCCAAATTTAGCAATATCGTCCTGATAATTTGTAATTTTAAAACCCTGAAAATCAGAACCCAAAAGAATAACAAGACTTTGTGATACATACATATGATGGTAGCTAGATAGCTATACTAAATATTAAAGAAATATATTCAGAGATTGTAAAATCTTCAATACGTATTTTATCACAACTGAAAAAAGATTAACCATTGTATTAGTTAAGACCCTCCAGTTAAAAGTAACGAGAAACCAATTCAAGATAGCTGAGGGAGAAAAGGCAGTAGGTAAGATTATGAAGATAATGGGATAAGGGTGAGCAGCAGGGCCCCTTAAAGGAAAAGACACTAAGATCTTTACTGTGTCATTCATTTTATATCTCCTGCTATGTCTGTTTCATTCTTCATTTTCATTGCAGACCAGCTTTCCTGGTGATTCCTTCCTCATGGCAGAATATGGCTACCTCTTATGTTCCAATTCTGGAACAGTCGAGTTCTAGACATATCTACATTCAGAATAAAAAAACTGATGAGCCAGGAATGAGTCCACTATGGCCAGATGACATCCAGTACCAATGTGGACTTTAAGGATCCAAAGAAATGGGGCTTTTGAGGATTAGGTAAACATCCCTAAAGGATGTACAAGGATGTACAGGGTCATCTCATTTTTTATTAAGAAGTTGTTTTCCTAGAAAAATTAATAGAAAGATATAAACCAGATTTTAATAGCAGTTATTCATGGGTGTAAAATTATGGGAATTTTAATTTCTTTTGCTTATATTTTCAATAATTTATGCTGAAATGCATATTAATTTTATGAATTAAAAAAGTTAATTTTAAAAACTAAACTATCATACCATTATGACATAAAGCTAAGTGAGAGGAAAATAAGGTTTTTAAAAATCCACATTGCTTATATCTCTTAACTCTACAAAATATATATGCATAGAAAAAGAATGGAAGACAATAAAATATTAGCAGAGGTACCCCAAGATGACACAATTAAGGATTTATTTTTATTTTCTCATTTATCACTTTCTGAATTTTTAATTGTTCTACAACACGTATGTATTGCTTTTATACTAGAAAAAGAAAGTGTGAGGGATGCATATGCCCAGTGGGTTCAGTTTTTGTGTAGGAGACTAGAATACTGTAGATACCACTGTGATGACCAGATAAAAGACACTGAGTTTTGGTGTTTTCCCCATCCTCAAAATATCTGAATACTACTACAAATTGCCAATAGTAACAACTACTACAACCATGATTTATCCTGAGAATCACTGGCACAGAAAATATTAAAAGTTGCGGAGGCATTCTGAATTATATTTAAGTACTCACTGAAAATAACTGGAGTTTAAAAATAAAACTTGCATGGTAGGATTCTACAAACTAGAACTGTTTTAACATATGGAAGATAATATTCAGAGTAATCTTACATTACTAGGTGGGTGATTAACTATTTTCTGCACCTATTAGAGAAAAGATTAAAATGACTTTTAGTGTTAGGAGAGTTTCAGCTATACCATCAGCCATGTCAAGCCCAGAAAGATATGAACCAAAAAATAAATCAGGATCTGGACAAACACAAAGTTTAACACTCACTGCATTGCCACATGTTGGTTCCCATGTTCCTTTGCCATTTGAAACTTGGCCAACATTAATGAAAATTCTATACATTAAATGCTTGACCCAAGCCCCAAAGTTAAATTGTAAATATAAAACCCACAGGAGGGGTGAGAAAACTGGAGAACAGATTTTCCTACAATCTTCAAATAAGAGATATCTGCTAATGTAAGATAGATTAGTGGCAATATCTGGCTTAGAAAGTTTCTAGAGATTTATTTCTAGCTCTCTACATACTGTAATAAAGCCCTAAAAATTTAAAAATACCCACCAATATTATAGGCATGCTGCTTTATAAAATGTGCCCTAAAATTCTAGCCAAAATACTTCACTTTCTCTAATACTTAATAAGTGAGCTAAAACTTTTTAGATTAATAAAAAAGTATTTAAAACTCATGTTTTAAACATGTTATTCTACTCTAAATAAATGTATACTATTGTACTTTAAAATGTATCAGAGTAAGGTGTTTTCTATTTTTAACCATCCTCAATTATTTTTAAATTAACTACTCTAATTTCACCTCTAAAGGGCTTAATTACATGAAATGAACAAATTCCTCTAAACATTTTTCTTAAGGAAAAAATGAAAGGAGATATAGTGAAATGGTGTATGTCAGCCATGATAATTCTAAGGTATATATAACCAGGGAAAAATGCTCACAATGTAACAAATTCTATATATAAACAGTCATGCTAAACACAGATTTGTACCAATAAGGATACGGAATTAGATATTAACAACAATGTTTTCAGAAAAAGATACAGTAATGAGTAAAAAGCATTATGCTATTACAAATGATTTACAGAAACAACTAATTAACCTAACATAAATCCCCTTTAAATGCAAACAATACATTATCTTAAGAACTGTAGAATAAAATATTTTCCTAGTAAACTAGGTATAAAAATTCAAACTCACTTTTTAAAATATAACACCCAGAAAATAAAGAATACTGTTCCTTTTTTAACATATATTTCTCAAAATAAGATTCACCATGAACATTATTTTAGATTGTATTTTTACATATTCTTTAGCTAACCAAGTGAAAATCCAATAAAACACAAATAGGTACTTTCATCAGTGCATAGAACAGCAATAAGTAGCAAGGTTAAAAATCAGAATACAAGTTCAATTGAATAAACACAATACTAGTACACAGACACTCATTTTTAATCCACAATAAAAAATCTGAGCCACGAATAGGTTTTTCATTTTTAATCTAACTTCTAGATTATCTGTAATTTGACCTTAAAGGGGCCAAAATATTTAATACAAATGAAGCTCGTGTTCTAACACCTGTAAAGGTCTAATGCAACAGAAAAACTGTCATTTTATGTTGCTTAGAGTTTTTAACTTAAGTCTTTCATATTATTTTGTTTAGCACATGACAGACTTACACACAGATTTTTAAAAATCAAACATGGAATTTCTATATACATCAAACCTTTAACAATGTCTGTCTTTGAATTGCTATTATAGTGTTCAAAATTATACAAACAAACATCCAGTAAACAGCATTTTATTTTATGACACTCTGTGTTAATACAATAAATATACAAAACTTCCAACCCACTGAAACATGCAACATTAGAGGGACACATGGAGGGCATTTCTGTAGAACCATGACAGTCACCATGATGGCAGCGCAATATTAGTTACTGACAAAATATACAAACATCTCAAGATAAATAATCCAAGTCCCAAATTACAAATCACTGAGCAATGATTTCCCAGTGTTCAAGCTTTAGTTTGAAATAAAACAGCCAGAATATTACAAACTGAAAAATGACACAGACGACTACTATGTGAAGACCATTTTATGACTATGATTTCATAACTGTGATTTTAGTATTAAATATAAAACATTAACAAATGCCAATCTTTCGCTGAATGAAAATTTAACAATTTACTGAGAGAGAAGAGTAAATATAAGAATTTAAAGCTCCGTTCATACTTGATCGTACTATAAGCATTGCCATCATTTCAATGCACATGTATTTTTTTAAAAAACAATTTTCTCTCTCAAACTTGTATTAAATAACTGAATTTTAAAACATTTTTCCCATTCACACCAAAAAAGACACTGTGGGTTCTAATTATTCTTTGCTATTTAATAAAGCTACCTTTGGGGATTTCTACATAATAGAAACATTCCAATTCTGAAGGAAAGTATTTCAGCATTTTTCAAAAGTCTCTCATTTATCTTTTGTTTGTAGGGTATAGAAAAAAATGGACTTGGGATATAAGTTAATGGTGAATATAGGTGTTCTTGCTGTATTTTATGGTTAATGTTTTGAATGTATGCAAAATCTATACTCTATAAAGCACACTGATAAAACAGAATTCCAGTAAGACTACAGGTTCTGAAAAACAAACTGGCTAAGTTGATTGAAAATGCAGGTAGAAATCATCGCTGATTAGAAATATTTACAAAAACAGCTTTAAATTCATACTCTGAAGAATAAAAGAAATGTCTTCCAAGTATACCTAATGTCAATAAGGTCCCAAATAAATCAAACGTAAACACCATCTGGATGGCTCTACATTACCTAGTAACACGCAGCGCTGCTTCATGGATAGTGAGAACTTGGCATCCCACCTCTAGCATAAAACTTCTTCTGTAACTCCAGATTTGGGGAGAATGAAAGTGAGTTAACTATTTATGCCTATCTGATTTTTTTTAAATATGAATTTCCAGCCTCTAATATCACAATCCTTACTTAAAATCTAATTGAATAATCACTACCTATCATTCTGCAATCTTAAATTAGCTAAAGGCTTTCAAAACACAGTAGCATGACTTACAAATGTCTTTGAGTCATTTAATCAGTATTAAAGTTGATTCAAAGTTTAACCCAAGAATACTGTAAGAATGAAGTTCTGTGCTGCACAGTAACAATTTTAACATGATTATCTTAATGCATTTAACTGTATTTATAATTTTCTTGCTTGGTGCAACTTAAATTTTTTTTTCTATTGCTGGAAATTTTAGATGTATTCAGTCTGTCTCAAACAGGTGCATTTAGGGATTGAAATATATGAAAAAAATGCCAGGGCCTTTTTGTTTTTAATGAGACTGGAGATGAAAAACTAAAAGAAAAATCCCTTATATACGTACATTATTTTTAGACAAGGGTTAGGCTAGCATTTAATACCTCTGTTAAAAATCACACACACACATATCCCCAAAAAAGAACTGCCAGACACAATCTTAGTTGTAACCACAGAATATACCAAAGTTTTTCATATAGCAAAATGTCACTATATGAATACTGAATATTTTTTTTTTTTTTTAAAAAGGAATTATTACCGCTACATTCTATTGCATTAACTACCTTCTCTTTTGGATAATGCACTGCATATTATGTTAAATTCTTATATTGCACCCCCAAACTTTTTATTTAAAAGAAACTCTTACAGCGAATCACATCTGTGATTCCATTAACCCCTGAATCCTACAACCATAGCAGTACAGAAGCCAAAATACTAATTCTTTTAATATCAGAAATGTGGTACCCATGCAAATCAGAGATTGTTATCAAAATATCAACTACTCCAAAAAAAAAAAGAAAAAGATGATAAATTTTACATTATCTACTACAAAATGCACATAGGCTCTTCACTGGTGACTGAAACAGCTAAAAAGCAAGCCAATTTAAAATCCCTAAGTCTCTGCTGGCCTATTTCTTTCAATATAAATAGGGAAAAGGGAATAAAACATAGCTTTACTTTTCCAATGTGCAATCCTTATCTCTAAAGATTCTTGAAAGAACTACTGCAGTTAGTATTAAATGCATTTTAATCATAAGTACCATTATTAATTTCAGTGGGTCACCACTGAAATAATTCACTGAACGTCATCCCCCAAAAAATATGGAGAATATTTAGCATGTCATATTTTTTTCTGCAAGGGGCACTGAAATATTAAGAAACTATTAGGTAAAGTAATAAGACAAGGAAGTTTTCCTGGTTTTAGCCCATGCACAAGTGAACAGGAAATATCCATGCTGTCTGTACTGTGTGTTTTGAACATAAAAATATTTGTAGAATACAGTAACTGGAGAAAAAAGTACAGTCAAAAGGTAACAGTGTATTGTTTGAAGATTCTTAAATCTGGTTACCCTTGAAAGCATTCTGAGCTGCACTAGTTGCTGCAGTTGAAGCTGCATTCGCAGCTGCAGTCTGGACAGTTTTGTTGGACATCACACCTGTTGCAAACTCTTGTTGGGCCTTCTCAAAGCTAGCACCTGTTGTGCGATATAGTCCATGTACCTACAGAGACACAAAAAAGTGGAAGAAGATAAGTAGCAACCTACACATTCATACCCAGCAGCTCTTAATCTCAACATCGATCAAACATAAAAGGACTAGATTGCAGTCATGATTCCTAAAATCAAGAACGTGGGCTACCACACTGGCACACAATATTGCATTTAAACATTTTTTAATACAGGTTTTTCTTTTCTTCTCCAAGCAAAAGAGATAATTATGTAATTCAAACCAAAAATAAAGAACTTATTAGCCAACTGCAAACAGTTGTATTTTCCTCTACCCCCAATTAGTCACGTGAAATTATTACAGCATTACAATGGAATGGTTTAAACATAATAACAAGAAACAATTTAATACATTAATTTATTATCCCAGACAATTCAGATAGAACAATACCTTATCTATTTCTATTTTAGCTACATATACACCACAGGCCCTGTTACAATCAAATGAGATCATTTTATCATTTAATCTACCAAAGCACCACTTATGTCCTTCAACATACTGCAGCTATGCACATACAACTTAATCAAGTCCTAAAGAATGCACAAAGAAACACTTCTGGGAATTGTTTTTCCATATTGATTCATCACTGAATTATTGGGATTTATTTTCAGGAATAGGGTTCAAAAATTTTCTATCAGTGTATGTCTTAATCTGCATAATTAAACTATGAGTCCATCAATACATAACATCAGCCACTTACTTTAACACAAATTTGAAGAAAGAAATAACAAGCATTTATTAATTATATGCCCACAAACTTTGCAGAGTGGAGAGAGAAAGATAAGTGAACTGGTAATTATACTGCACTGTGACTGGATCTAAATCAGAAGCTTGACTGAAATGCAATCAAAGCAGGCTTAGGGAAGGGGCCAAGGCAAACTAGTTAGTCCTTTTTACCAAACCTGGATAGGAACTGGCAACGGTGGAGTGAGAAAAAGGAGAGTGAATCAAAGACTCTCAAACTTGCATTTTGGGAGTAGTTTCAAGAAGACAGAGGAGAGAGGATAAGCTGGTTTGGGGAGAAGGGAGACGATAAGTTCTAAAAATCTGTCCATTCATTCCAAGACAACTGACAACCTACTCGAGGCCTGCCACAGCAGGCGAGTGAAGATTTGGTTTAAAGCTCAGGAGAGGAATGGGCTAAAGACATGGATTTCAAAACCAATGGCATATGTTACGGACTGAGTGTTTGTGTTCCCCCCAAAATTCTTACGTTAAAATCCCAACCACCAATATGATGGTATTAGCAGGAGGGCCTTTGCAGGGGTGATTTTACCATGAAGGTGAAGCCTTCGTTAACAGAATAAATGCCCTTATAAAAGAAACCCCAAGGCCCAGTGTGGTGGCACCCACATATAGTCCCAGTCACTTGAGGGCAGGAATTTGAAGCTGCAGTAAACTGTGACTGCCCCTGTAAACAGCTTTGCACTCCAAGCTGGGCAATATACCAGGACCTCGTCTCTAAAAACGTTTTTTTTTGTTTGTTTGTTTTTTGTTTTAAAAAGAAAGAGACTCCAGAGAGCTCTCCAACAACCTTCCATCACATAAGGACACAGAAACTGCCTATGAACCAGGAAGTTGGACCCCACCAGACACTGAATTTGTCAGTGCCTTGATCTTGGACCTCCCAGCCTCTAGAACTGTGAGAAATCATTATGTGTTGCTTAAGCCACCCAATCTATGGTATTTTTGTTACAGCAGCCCAAAGGGACTAAAACAACATATAAATGGTAGCTGAAGCTTGGCATTTATGAAATTGCCCATGGAGAACCCAGAGTAGAAAGAGAATAAAATCAACTACATAACCTAATTAATGCAGAAACAGAAAACCAAGTATCATATGTTCTCACTTATAAGTGGGAGTTAAACACTGGGTACACATGGACATAAAGACTACAACAATAGGCATTGGGGACTTACAAGATAGGGGATAGGAGGGGGAGAAGAACTGAAAAACTACCTATTGGGTACTGTGCTCACTACCTGGATGACAGGCTCAACTATACCCCAAACCTCAGCATCACATAATATACCCTTGTAACAAACCTGCACATGTATCAGCTGAATCTAAAATAAAAACTGAAATAAAAAGACTTTATTTAAGTGGCATCCACAAGAAGGAGGAATGACTGGGAAAGAAAGAACCAGATACTTCTCACTGATGCCAAGAGAAGCATGTTAACACGTGAAAAGCTATCAGAAAAGCTATCAAGAAACCTTAACACATGAAAAACTATCAGGGTACAAGATAAAAATAACCCAGACAGCCCAAGTGCTTCTGATATAGTGGTAAAAGCAAACGCCCTATTACTACAGATCAAAGTGTCAAATGGTCAGGAAGAAAAAGACAGCACTGACAAGAACACATACTGGTAAACCCAAATATTCCTTTCCCCTAGTACCTTAGCATTATCGTTAAGTATAAAAGTAATTATTTTTATTCCCTTTGAAAATCAAGTTTTCTATGGAAAATTAAAGATACAGATAAATTACTACTCCTGTGTTCTAGACACTTATCTCAGAGAATACAAATGACTGGATCCTAGAAAATGAAGTGTATTATAGAAATCTTATCAACCTTCTTTACTTACTAGACCCAATCAGAGCAATGCAATTACAAAATCACTTATCTGTCTCTTCCCCTCGTCCCCCAAGTTTGTAAGCATGTAATAAATAAATGTGAATTCTTATTTGCTTTATTATTTCCTTTTTCAAACTTGTATTCAGTGGCTGATACTATGTGTTCATGGGCTTCACAGTTTACTAAAATGTAATTCACAGTCCCATAGAACATAGAGACAAAATAAAGGTAGGAATAGCACATATTTCTCAATAGCTTGTATCTATATAGACCCAGAGAGCCACCTAGAGGGAAAAGACCACATACAGATACAGTGCACAATGCTCAAATGCTGTACTAAATCCATTATATTCGTGTGAAAAGGTTGAACTGCTGATTTCAGGGCCCCATGAAAGATGATAGGCTAATCATAAGGATCAACATCTTTAAAAGCTTATTACTTCCCTCTAGGGTTTCTGACTGGTATCTATTGATAATTCACACTCCTGGTATCAGGGACAAGGTTTTGACACTAAGTACTAAATTTTTTTTTTTTAATTAAACAACTTGGGGATGGAGGACAAAGGCAGTGATAGCATTAGGAGAAATACCTAATGTAGATGACGGGTTGATGGGTGCAGCAAACCAACATGGTACATGGATACCCAGGTAACAAACCTGCAATGTTCTGCACCTGTAATCCCAGAACTTAAAGTAGTTTTTAAAAAGATTTTAATTTTGATAAAATCCAATTTATCTAAAAAAAAAAAAATGTACCAGTTGATGGTTTGCTTAAATGGAGCACAATTATCACTAAGTTGCACAGCCTTTTTTTATATGTACTATCACTGCAGGAAATCTCAGCGTAGGTAACCTGAATGCATATTACCTAGTGGAAAATTCAATAAATGCAGAATAGCCTAGGGCACTAAAAAAAAAAAAACTGAACAACTTAAATACTATCTTTTCTACTATGAGAACCGCATGACTCCTAAAACAATATTTAGTTCTAGGAAAATCACAGAAAAGGCACTAAATTTGGTATCAATTAATTCTATTACTTTCTACCTGGCTGGCCACCACTCAAAACTTCCAAGTCTGCTTCCCATAAAACAAGAATTATTTGTTACCCTATCTGATCCTCAGCGTTTTCCTGAAGATCAAATCAGGAAGTATATAAATGAGTTACACTAACAAAGTCAAATTAAATTTTAAGTATCTGCAGAAGTGTCACAGCTGAAATACAGATGCAGTTCCAAAACCTGACTCCTTAATGCAGCTTCAGAGATAGTACATGCTGTGGTGGTGTATGACACAGAAAAACTATACAGTATGGGAAGCAAAGAATAAACGCACTTTATTTAAATAACCCAAACACATGCCTTCATTAAAACGCACAGAACACCATTTCAAGAAACTGTGCTTTTTTAAGATCCCTGTCATGCCAAAATTATTTCAACTTTTATAAAAGCTGGGAAAATAAAAACAAATAGGGTTTTTAAATATATTTTTTAACTTATTTTTTTAAGTTTTTAAAAAAGTCTGGACCTCTAAGCCTAATTTTTTTCAGTCTGAAATTTCTGGAAACCCTCTATGAACCTCCTGGCCACAGATGGTCAACACATCCCTTCTGTAATCCCCTGAATTGCCACTCTAGTCTCACCATGTCCTTTAAGGACTATCTCAAATAATACTCTGTCTGCTCTTTTGTGCCTGAACTACCTATGGCTCTCCCTATTGAGAGTACCTCCAATCCTTTGTACATTTTGAGATTTTGAGGGGCATGTATGTTATATTTCTTTTATAGGGTTTTATATTATATCCCACATGCTTTTACTTGCCTAAGGGCAAAAACTTATTCTACTCATTGTTATATCCCCTAAAAGACACAGTTTAGTAATCTGCAGTAGAAGCCATTGAATAATTATTTGTCTACCTGCTAGGGATTAAATGTCCCAAAATTGTCCTCATTAATAATTTTTTTAAGGTACTAAGTAAGTGCAGTATGGCTTAAGGAGACTATACTTGTGTTACAAAGTAAAATGCTTAGTTTGCAGTCACCTCAGAGGTTACATGTTTTAAAAGTAGACATACTACTTCACACCTGCTAGGATGGCTGGAATGAGAAAAATGGAAAACTACAAGTGTTAGCAAGGATGTAGAGAAAGTGCTGGTGGGAATGTAAAATGATATAGTCCTTGCAGAAAAGAGTTTGGAGGCTCCTCAAAAAGCCAAACATAGAATTACCATGAGACTACATAGCAATTCCACTACTGGGTATATATGTACACGAGAGAAGTGAAAGCAAAGATTCAAAAAGATACCTGTACACCTAATGTCCACAGCAGCACTATTCAAAATAGCCAAAAGGTGGGAAACTATCAAGTGCCCATGAACAGATAAACACAATGTGGTATACAGATACAATGGAATA